TCGCCTGCATCTATGGCACGTATCCTCACTATCTCTGAGGATGCTTGCCATAGATGCAGGCGAAACGTCGGGAGAAAATGCCTCTAGAACATGTCCATATAGCCCGAAAAAACCTACAACAACCCAAAGGTATTAAAGCTGCCATACCAGGTATCATTCTGAAGCTTGGGTTAGGAAGACACTCAGAGCCAGAAAAATAGTTTTCTTTTAGTTAGGCCCCTTCTACACTGGAATACAATTCAGATCACTAAAGCAGATAATCCACATTATCTTCTTTGAACTGGATTATCTGAGGCCCCTTCTACACTGCCATATAAAATCCAGATTATCTGCTTTGAACTGAATTCTATGGCAGTGTAGAATCTGCTTTGATAATTTGAATTTTATGGCAGTGTAGAAGGGGCCTGAATCTACACTACCATATAATCCAGTTCAAAGTAGATAATCTGAATTTTATATGGTAGTGTAGAAGGAGCCTAAATCTCCATTTGTACTCAATTTTTAAAGATCCATCTGAAAGAGTCCAGATACCAGGGAGCTATTTATGCAATTTCTATCCGCAGCTGATTGGTTTATCTTGGTTAGCAGCAGTACCAAAAGTGATGGTTTCCTTCTAGCTGCAGAGCTGGCTACTTGATTACAAAATATATTGTGTTATTACCCAGGAAGAAATGGATAAGATTTGCTCAAGTCCCTGCAACTGCTGCTCTGCTTCCATCAGTAATTCCAAGTGTGAGATGGTTGTTCTCTAAATGATCATGTTCTTGCTGCAACTTCTTTATAATCTCTGATACCATAATGTTTTCTTGTTGCTATGGATGCAACTGATGTGACTTTCCCCCTGGTATTGTGATGTCCTCAGAATGAATCTCCTGCCCACAAACAAAGGGACTGTGATAGAAAGATCATCAACAAGCATCATAAGAGACATTTGATCATTAACAAAGGGTTTTCCTAATCAGAACAAATGTGTCAGGAGATGGCAGACTTCTTGTTGTATGACAGGGTTTTTGTCTTTTAAGAGTCAGATGCTGTTTTGCCAATTATGCATTTCTGAATGGTTTTCTCTCCTTTTCTGGCTTCCTTAACCTGGTAGGTTAGGTGTTGAGGTCGAGTTTCTAGTTAGCATGGATACAGCCAGGCTGACTGGGCATAGTGGGTGTTATTTAAAGGTATCTAGAAGGAAATAGATCCGCATAGATATTATTATTATTATTATTATTATTATTATTATTATTATTATTATTATCACGAAGAGTCGGAAACGACTGAACGAATGAACAACAACAGAAGGAAATGGTTTAAGGGAAAGTAGTGAAGAAGAATGTGAATGTAATGCAAAATGTACCCTAGTTTGGGTTCTGTTACTCATAAACCCAGAACAATTTCTACCCCGATCTAAGTTTTGTGCTGGGAATGATGAACTGTCAGACATGGCAGTGTGTCTGTGGGTGGAGGAAAATTTCATAAATATATATATCACAAAGTCTAGTATTTTATGGGGGGAACTTTTTCTTTGAGTATCAAAATGACCCCAATATGTTCTTTCAAAACATTTCCTGAAGGGACTTTATTCTTTAATAAGGTGTCCATTTTTCTCCTTTCTTTCCTAGCTTATTTCAACATTATACTCTATATCAGTATCTTTTCCACAGTCCCAGGGAAGAACTTGTTATTGGAGACGAGGTAAGTAATTTATATGACTGGAACTGATTAAGTGGAATATTTTAATATGTGTTCTCTGGCATCTGTTTGCTATAGCTCAAAGCAAGTTTGTGTCAGAATTGCTCAAGTATTAACAGCGCAGAATAGCAGATGAAAGAATGAAAAAGAAAAATAGTAATGCCTGTCTCCTCTGGAATTTGAAATTTAGAAAAATAAATATGCCATTGTTGGTTAGTCTGCTAGCTGTGTTGACAAAAAATATCTTCACAGACAACATTTGTAAGGGTGGCGTGCTTGATTTTATGTAGAAGTTCAACTGAAGAAAGATACTTCCAATTGCTGTGTGCATTTTTGTGACTGTTTTGCTTAATTTAGGTTCTGTTGCAGAGTCCAGGACAGTGTTATTACACTTAAATTGAAGGTCACACTTCAATTTAGCCAATGTCTTGGAATCCACTGCCGTAACTTTCTATAATGTCAGAAGTAGCAGTGGTGGAAGTCATAGTGGTAAACTTCCAACATTAGCCCTCACCATGCAGTTCTTCACCATTAGCCATTCCACAGCATAGTAACCAGCTGTCTGATCCTGCTTCGTAGTGCATGCACTTTCCTCTTGTGACTCATATGCCTCGCCATTCTAACAACATTTAGCAAATGTTGTTGCTCACTTTCCAAAATGCCTTTTCATACCAAAGGAGTTTCCCCATGCTTCTGTTGGCCTTCAGTGTTACTATCTTGCCCAGTCTGTACATTTTGCCCTGCAGATCCCATACCATTTTGATCGCCTGTATTGTAATGTAAATACAATGGGCAAGAAATGGAACTATGATATACAGTCAAAGCCCTTTCGCTTTATTAAGGCTCCATCTACACTGTTATATAAAATCCAGATTGTGTCCTTTGAACTGGATTATATGACAGTGTGGATTGATATAATCCAGTTCAAAGCAGGATTATCTGCTTTCATAATTTGGATTTTATGGCAGTGTAGAAGGGGCCTAAGGCATCCTTCAATTTCCATAGATCTTAGAATACAGCAAACCATATCATACATTTGATATTTGCACAGGTTGAGTACCCCTTATCTGAAATGCTTGGATTTTGGTTTTTTTTAGATTTTGGAATAATATAATTTGCATATACCTGGACTTCCATAATGAGATGTCTTGGAGATGGGAGCTAAGTCTAAACAGGAAATAACAGTAATTTCATGCATAATATTTATTTAAAATGTTGCATAAAACAACATTTGGGTATACTGAACCATTGGAAAGAAAATATGTCACTATCTCAGCCACTAATGTGGACAAGTTGGGGTTTTAAATTGTTTCAGATTTTGGAATTTCATATAAGGGATGCTCAACCTTTATTACTCTTCTTTTTATTTATTTCATTCATGATCTCTTTTCCTTTTAGAAGTTAAGAAGTTTATTCAGTTATATCTACAGTTTGGATTGTCTACAGTGATATTTTTCTATATTTTATCATAGTACATTTTGTTTATCTTTCTACTTCATGCACTGGATGTAAATACATTTATTTAAAATTTCATATATAAACATTGATTCCTAAATCTATTTTTTAAAAATGTATTTTCTTATAAAGCTAAGGGATCTCTAATGTGATAAGAAATTGTGGTTTTCTGCTGTGTGACTGAGACAGGATCTACACTCTCCTATATCCTAGGATCTGATTCCAGATTATCTGGCAGTGTAGACTCTTATAACTCAGTTCAAAGCAATAATCTGGGGTCAGATTCTGGGATATAGGGCAGTGTAGTTCCAACCTATGCCTACATGAATCTCTCTGCTCTGTCCTCCTTTTTCACATACGGGGATTTGGGGCGTTAGTGGCGGCAAATAAATAAATAAATAACTTTATTTATAACCTGCTTTATTTTCCCTAAGGGACCCAGTTCGGTTTGAATGTAACTTGGATTTTTTTTTTATGTCAGGGGCAACTTGAAAAACTGCGAGTCACTTCTGTTGTGAGATAATTGGGTGTCTGCAAGGATGTTTTATCATCCTCTGGGAGGCATGTCTCATGTCCCCACATAGGGAGTTGAAGCTGTCAGAAGGAGCTCAGCCTGCTCTCTCCAGATTTGAACTGCTGACTTATTGGTCAGCAGTCCTGCCAGCACAAAGGTTTCACCCATTGCACCACTGGGGTTATAAATAAATAACTTTATTTATAACCTGCTTTATTTTCCCTAAGAGACGCGGGGCAGTTTGAATGTTATTTGGATGTAACTTGGATGTAACTATGGTTGCTTTCAAACAAAAAGCAGAAGTTGTCAGTCACCTTTTCTGGGATGAAAAGAGGCATATCGGTTTGTGCGCATCAAGGAATGGGAATTCTGAGGTTTCTCATTATGGCTTAACAAGATTCTTCCTTTTATAATAACAAATGTATGCGTAACCTTTTGCAAAGATTTTTCTGTAATTTTTTGCATATGTATAAGATTGTGCATATATATATGTGTGTGTGTGTGTGTTAAAATATAAAGGGCATTATATATGTTTTCATGGAGAATTTTAAAATTATATTCTTCCAAACATTTCTTCTGAATGGCTCAGAAAACGTTTATCGAATGAGAAAGCAGCAATATAGTGAGGGAGCAAAGAATAAATGTCACTGCAATCCTGCTAACTGCCAGCTTTCATAAATCATTTGGTTTAATAAGAATAAAGAAATTGCAAAAGAAAACCGTCAGACATGAATGCCACACTCTTCTGAGAAGGCATACCTTGGCATTTAGCTAGTGATAGGAAACATTTGTATAGTGATGTTGAAGTCTCTCTTTAATACTTACTTAAGTAGTAGCGCCTTATGGAAATAATTTACCAAAAAATGAATTTGGTCTTTTTAAAGGACCCAAGTCCAATTTGTACAGTGGCTTTCATTTTAATGGCTGTCGCTGCATATATTCAAGGATAATACTGAAGAAATGTGTTCAGGAAAGAAAAGAAGCTGAACATACTGACAAGCAAGTATTTTCCGAAAATACCTTTTATGTCAAATGAGTGAAAATATCTTTGATGGCCCAACAGGTGTGCTTAATAGGGGTGTGTAATAATTTTTTGTTAGTCCTCGTAAGTCAGATCAAATTTGTTAAATTTGTACTTATGACATATCCAATTCATGGGCATGGCCTGTGCCAAAAACTTAAGAATCAAAAGTTACTCAATACTCTTTCATTTTCATTTTATAAATTTCAGAAGCCTCCCAAAGTCGGTTTCATTTTCAATGCAAGGAAGTAAAGCAAAGACAAAAAGGCTGCATTTCTTTTTTAAATTAATGGCCCTTCACCAATAGGAGAGGCAAGCAGCTGATAAAAAGCAGAGTTTGCTGGGAAAGAAAACATAGAATTCTGGGAAATGTAGTTTGAGAAGGCAAGGAGCCCTATGTCAGAGAATTCAAAAGGCCCTGGCCTAAACTACATTTCACACAGGAATGTAGCTGGAGGGGGGGAGACTTGAGGGGATTCAGCCCCTCCCAAAATTCTCATGGTGGTTCGCGAAAAGGCCTTACTGGTGCATTATTTAAACTGTTATGTTTATTCATATCATGATCTGATCACCCTACTCAATATATCCCATATGCATGGGGGTATTGGGGTAATGATACAAAAGGTTTGCTAGGCTAGACCCTCTTTCACTCAGACTCAGCCCCCCCCCCCCCCCCCCCGAAACAAACTCAGCCCTCCCCCCCCCCCGAATCAAAATGCTAGCTACGGGCCTGATTTCACAGAATTCTGCACAGAATCAGAAAGCCCCAAACAGGATAGGGGAGAGATTTGTCCCTCCATAGCAGCAGCCAACTAGAGTTACAACAAATTGTTGAATCTGTAAAAAGGAGGACTGACTGATACTTCTAGTAAGTAAATCTTTGTGCTGAGCTGAGTTGAAATCCCTAGATGAAAGTTCTGTTGGTTAATATGAGAGACATTCAGTGAGATAGTTATTGTGGCTTTTTTAAAAAAAATAAAAAATGTTTTTGTAAAATCTTTTAAAAATTTCCCTAGAATCATTAGATGTATGATATATGGGGGGAATGATCTCCTGTAATCTTGTGTCATTGTATAGAAAATTCAAGGAGATAGCTCTTTTAGTTTGACTATTTTATGCTTATGTATTGTTCTGTTTTGTTTTGTTCTGTTTTTTTGTTTTGTTTTTTTTTGCTTTTGTGTTTTTACAATTTGGAAACTGCCCTAGTCCCCCAGGGGAGATAAAGCGGTATATAAATAAAGTTTTATTATATTATTGTTATTGTTTCTTTAAAATGTTGTTTATAAAAACATTGAAAATTCCCCAAAAAACCATAGATCAGTGAAACATTCTGAAACTTGATGGACTAACAGTGGTAAATGTGTTCAAGTTTCACCTCAATAGCTGCAAAAATGAGGGAGAAAAGAACCCCTGTAGTTTCCCCACTTGTGCAATTACTATAATGAAAAAGTAACAAGATTTCACTACTCCCATTAGAGTAATGATTTTTTTTTTTACTAATGACACTTTAGAAAAACTTTAGAAACAAAACGCCAGCACCCCCTAGTTTTGTAATAACTTTTGAAACATTTCTTTTAATCGATCGCACATGCATAGTGCCTGATCTGTCTCCATTCCAGGCAGATTTTATGTGTGTTTACTTAGGATCAAGACCATCATAGGGTTACTGTGAGTTATCCAGGCTGTATGATCATGTTCCAGAAGCATTCTTTCCTGATGCTTTGCCCACATCTATGGCAGGCATCCTCAGAGGTTGTGAGGTCTGTTGGAAACTAGGCAAGTGAGGTGTATATATTTGTGGAATGTCTAGGGTGGGAGAAAGAACTCTTGTCTGTTTGAAGGTCAGCAGGGAGGGGGCCATTCTGGCTTCCCTGGACAGGGAAGTTCCAGAGTTGAGGGGCAGCCACCGAGAAGGCCCGCTCTCTTGTTCCTACCAACTGAGCTTGAGATGGAGGTGGGACTGAGAGCAGGGCCTGTCCTCAAGATCTCATGGCCTGAGCAGGTTCGTACAAA